TTAATAATGCCTTTTACTTAACCCAATATATTCAGATTATCATTTCAACAGGTAATCAATACAAATTAATTTATTTGAGAGAAAAATGAGATATTTTGAATCCTTTTTGTTTTAACCAAGTCTTTGAAGTCTGGTCTGTATTTTACATTTATAGCTCATCTCAGTTCAGACTAGCCTCATATCAGGTGGTCAATAGCTTCATGTGAAAAGAGCCCATCATTTTGGACAGCACTGTTGAAGACTGACTGATAAAAGAATGTTGAAAATACTTATGAAAGGTAAATTATGGCATAACAAGCAGTGAGCTGTAACACCATGTGCCATTTAAGAAAACAATAATACCATTTATGTAATTCCAATGCAGATTTTACTAGCGTTCCCAGAAAAAAAAAAAAAGTGTAGTGAATTTCTTTTTCTTTCCTTTTGGTAATATCATTCTGAAACCAGTACGTGCATAACTTAGTGAAAAGGCATCACTAAAATGGTACAGAGTATAATAGAATAAAAATATTATGCCCTTGGGATAAGGTGTCCTGGCTATGAGACAGAAAGTAGAGTCAGGCTGGGCACAGTGACTTATGCCTGTAAGCATTCTGGGAGGCGAGGCAGGGGGATTGCTTGAGACCAGCCTGAGCAACATAGCAAGACACTGTCTCAAGATTAGCAAAAATTATCTGGGCATGGTGATGCATGCCTCTGGTCCTAGCTATTCAGGAAGCTGAGGTGGAGGATCATTTGAGCCCACGAACCAGCCTGGGCAACAGAGAGAGAAGAAGAAGAAGAAGAAGAAAGAAGAAGAAAGAAGAAGAAAGAAGAAAAGAAGAAGAAGCAGAAGCAGAAGCAGAAGCAGAAGAAGAAGAAGAAGGAAGAAGAAGAAGAAGAAGAAGAAGAAAGAAGAAGAAGAAGAAGAAGAAGAAGAAGAAGAAGAAGAAGAAGAAGAAGAAGAAGAAAGGAGAAGAAAGAAGAAGAAAGAAGAAGAAGAGGAAGAAGAAGAAGGAGAAGGAGAAGGAGAAGAAGAAAAAGGTAGAGTCAATATATTCTGAATCTCATAATAAAAAATTGCAGTTCAAAGGGAGGAGGGCTTCACAGATGGCTTACATATTTTCTAAGCTCCAAAAAACATTCTTTAGAAGCAAGTATCATCAACCTTTTTATCTGACAGCACATTAAAGGTATTCCTACAGTTTAGGTGTTTCTGTAAGAGCAACTAGGAATAACCCTTGAAAGATAAAGGCTTTTGATAACAACCACGCTTTCAAACCAATCAATCCTCCAGACAATACTTTAAAAAAAATTGAATGAGGTCCACATGTAAGCTAAAAGCCTAGGGCTATACTTTAAAACAGCAGCAAAAACATACTCAAAGATGGATGAGAATGAGCACTCAAGAGAAACCAAGTGAATGTATAGTTGTGCCCCACCTTATAAATGTTCCTCACATACTGCCACAGCTAAAATTAGGCCCCCAAGTTTGAAATAATCCTTCACAAAAGCTAGTTTATGTTATATGAACTCTTCTGTAGCATAATGGTAGAATTTATAGTCTAGTGAGGACTACTACAGCCAAGTAAATAGGCATCTAAATTATTATGTAGCGTGACGGCTACCAAGATAGGGAAGGTGTAATGGAAGCACACAGGAGGAGCCATAACCCAGAAATGAGGGGAAGGAGCATTACTGGGGTCAGCTTCCCAGTAAATGGGAAGAAAATGAAGTCTAAGCTAAATCTACAGCCAAAGTAGGTGTTAGCCTAGTGAAAGGAATTTGAAGCAGAGAAAATGGAATGTCCAAGGCCAGAAAGCAGCATGGCCTGGCCTGGCATGTCAAGGAAGTGAGAGAAGTATGGTGGGAGGGCTGGGGTGGAGCTGGCCAGGTGGAGAAATGTGGGTAGGGAGTTAAATGAGAGAGCCATCCTGCGGTCCCTTTTAAGCTACCCTAAAGGGTATGGACTTACCTCTAAAGCAGCCGACAGCTACCAGAGGCTTTAGGTTAGTGTTCCTACTTTGACTTCCTACCTGTGGTGAGTTTCTAACTCCTCAATTACATGAAAATCCTAAAACTAAAGCATTTTGCAAGTGCTTGGGGGGTAAATGTAAAAGCTAACAAAATACAACTTGCTTCAAATACAAGGCAGAGAGGAAAATCTAGAGGGCTTAGACATGTTTATTCACTGAACTTGGAAAGTTAGTATTTTCTCAGCAATTCATAGAAGATCTATTTTTTTTCTTTTTTTATGGCCTGGTTGTGGTTTCTTTGGAGTTTCATAAAATTAATGGCTTGTAACATCTCATTACAGGCAAGTCTAAGGGCACCTTTCTCATCATTGCTTGAATTTCTGCCTTGAAGGGAATCCCCAGAATGAGATTTTCCCTGCAAGGTGGATTGCTGTTGCATTTGAAGCCTTCAACAAGGAAAAATTTCAAATCCCTCTCCATCTAATATATAAGCTTGTGTGCATGAACACACACACACACACACACACACACACACACACACACACACTCACACTGAAGTAAATCAGAACCAGGGCAAAAGAAAGAGAGGGAGGAATGGCATAGGCAGCTTCCAAAGCACTGCCTCTACCTGACCACAGCCTTTTATCCCAATCATGGCAGTGGGAAAGCCCATGCCTTCAATCAAGTGAAAGATCTTGAGAGAATGCAGGCAGAGCTCATGTATCTTCTCCAAATATGATTTTTTTTTCTATTTTTCCTTTGCTGTGTTCAAAGCATTTCTTCTCTCTGGCATTCCACTACCCTCTCCTTCTTAATTTTCTTTTATGGACTCTGGACGGGCAGATTTTTCTTAGCTCAGTCACTAAACCCTTTGTGTGGTTGCCTAAGGACATTTATTCTATCTATCCCTAGAGAAGATCAAATGAGCTAGTTGGTATCCTCTGTCCAAAACTTCTGCACATTCTTAAGTACCATTAACAAGGAACCACTAAGCCTTTTTTCTGTGATCTATATTTATAATGCCACTTCCTGATCATTTTTATTTTCCAGCCGCATAATGTTTTATGGCAAGCTCTGGAAAAACCGCTCAGGTTTTTAATGTCTCACTAAGCATGATTTGGCAATACTGGATACTGTATCTTAGTAGGATTTTGGCTAGTGTTCAGGACAATAGGCACAGCACATCTCCCTAGGTTAAAAAACGAAAAAAAAAAACAAAAAAAAAAAACATTGGGGCCTGGGTGTTAATTCTTTTTCTCTCAAGCCACTGGGAATACAGCTTTCAAACAAGACCAAAGAAAAATATCAGAATAAAAAGGCTTCACAGAAGAAATAAGGTATCTTTAGGGTGAGTCACGCAGGGGAAAATGTGCCCAGCACCTGTCAGTAGTACCTTTATGATTCAGTCATGAGTATCAGCTTAATTCTTTCTTTTGAGAAGAAAGCCAAGGTATTTTAAATGCAGAGCTGTTTAGCTGTGGTACCCATTCTGCAAAGTTAATAACATTTTTGAGGGTTCATTAATCTCAGCAAGTCTGAAAAAGATACGTTTTCATGTTCTTGCTCTCCTACTATCATTCTTACAGTATATTTTTACATAAATAATTGGTTATGGTTCAAATTAAAATAACTTTGACAATTATTAAGCTACGAGTTTTTTGAGCTTGCTCTGTGATGTGAGATATCAGCACCCCAGGGTACCTGAAGACCATGTGTTATCTTATGATAACATTCAACTCACTTTTTTCTAGGCTTATAAGATACAAGTTTTTCATTTAGCAGCTAAAATGACCGTGTTCTGTTTAGATAATATTCCCTCACTGAAAGGTTAGTCTCAATAGAATTTTTCTGATTAAAGTATAAATGTGGTATTTATAAGGACTACGATTTGCGTTCCTGGCAACCCGAGTATCCTCAAAAGCATTGCAACCCTGTGCTCATTTCACAAGTCCTATAATATTTTGCAGACCACTGTGTCCTCTATACTCAAAGCCTTCTCATAGACTAACAAGTGGCAAGCCTTCACTCTTACACACATTATAATCTTTCTTTGTGGCATGCACTAAAGACCTCTGTGTGATGAATTGTCATCTCCCTTAACCTCAAAGGTAACTGGCTATAAAACTGTTTTATGTTCCTTGTATTCCTAGGCCTGGTGTAAAAATACTAGCTGTAATTCAGTGTTGGCAATGTGGTATTATTCATAAACCATTCAAACTGTACTTTCCAGTTTTAGAATGTCATCAGAACTTCCTGATTGAATTACAATCTAGCATTTAGCTGAGTGTCCTTTTTTATGCATGAAAATTACTCACAAGCATTTCCCAACATCTCCAGGGCCTAAATGGGAGTTCCAGAGGGAGCAACACTTTGCATAATCCTTCAAAAATATCTTCAGGGACATTCAAGAGCCAAGAATTGGATAAAGCTTTTAAAATCAATGCTGGTTTAAAGAAAAAAAAAAAAAAACATAGCTTACAAAATGAAAATGTCTTGCTGATTTTCCAAAGAAAAAGAGGAAACCTCTGAAAATATGACTCAACTTCACTGGCTAGTTTTCAAAGCAAAATTTCTAAGTTGATGACATGGATTTAGCCCAACTATGTCAATTTTTGGTGAGGTAGGCGATGGGGTTTTGTTTGTTTATTGTGGAATTTGGGAGTACTTGTTTTTTGCTGTTCTTTGCTAAAAACACTTTAGTGCCACCATCAAAATCCATTCACATATAGATGTTTTCTTATTCACATCTCTATGTTTACTTTCAAGAGATAATAATTTTACAGATGACTTCCCCTATTGTATCAACTTCTCTAATTCTAGCACCATAATCGACATCTTATTTTACAAGTGCTTTTTCTTCACTCTAGCCTTATTTTTCCTTCTGTTCTTTCCATAATGTATAAATTTCCTTTATAAATAAGAAAATATTTTTTTCATCTGTTGTGGCCTTTTCCAACTTTGTCCAAGAGCAATTTTGTCCAGCCTAGCTGGTGGTGGTATAATTAGTACTAAGTAATATAATGAATTCTCCAAATATAAGCTCTGTTGCTCTGTCATGTGGTGGTGTCACAGAATATCAGAGAGGACAAATATTTTAGTCCTGATTCTATACCTGTACATATATGACTATAGACATAACCTTGTTTTATGCCTGTAGACCTGCTTTGTTTTTTCAAAAATACATGTTAATAAAAATGTGAGAAGATTTGCTACTTCATTGAATATTTAACACTCCTTCATTACATCAGTTCACTGTCAATAACAGATTTCATTCTAAGATTCAGGGCACGAGATGGGGAATGGCAACAACCTGATAAATAAAAAAGGAAAGAATCTCTAAGAATATTTGGATTTCATTGTCATACAATCTTCACCTTCTACCATTTCCTAGGCACTTACTGTCGTTAGTAAATTTGTCCAGTCTAAACTTACTAGATTCATTCTGTTTTATTATTAGAGTCATTTAACACTGCATGCTAAACCTAAATTAAACATGGCCCCAGGATAATTATCTCTATATATACTTACATTCATTCACTAGAACACTACTTTCAATCTCATAATACTAATGCTTTCAAATTCACATCTAAATGCCAATGTTCTCCTCTGACTTTAACATTTTTGAATTGATAGTCAGTATAGTGAAGTTACTGTCATTCATAAAATTAAGATATAGGTCATTCGCTAATCTTAATAGTAAGACATTTGATGTGTAATGTTACACAAGGATGTTTTGTTTTGTTATTGCCAATTAGTAGTTCAAATTAATTGGAAGTTTGCTTTGTGGGGTATATAATTATGTGGCTTAAACAGATTTTCAAAATAACAAGAGAGTCATAATTAGCAAAATTTTATACCCCAAATTTCTCTTATTTAAATACATATTTAATTATGATATGAGTGGGCTTCCTTTAAAGCAATCCAGAAAATTCTACTAAGACTAATTTTATAATAAACAATGTAACTGCTCTTTTCATATTTGGTTTGGTTCATAAAGCATAGCTTAGTAACAGAAATTTTCAAATAATTCTGAATTCTTCCAAAGCACAGGTCTACTAAAATGGCCCTACTAAGACCTCTGATAAGAGAGCAGCAACAATTCAACTGCCTGAATGAAATGCCAAGTGGCATAAAATAAAATTGTTGTGTGTCACTCCTGAGTTATTCAGGCAACAGCAAGAAGCGAAATGAGGAGCCTGAATTCTGTGTCCTTTACCACTTGCCCTCCGTGTCATTTATGAAAGAACCCCTCATAAGGAAAAGTAACATCAATAATGATGATCTTACGCCTCATCTCTTAAATATTCACAACTCAGCAAAAGCCAAATAAAAAGAGTGGCCTTTATGTCTAGATGTCCTTCCAATATCATTTGAGGAAACCTTTTAAAAGACAACAATCATGATAGAAAATTTGTTTCAGAAAAAGGAAAGGCATGATGAGGAAGGTATTTAATAGAAATCTCAGTAGATGAGCTTTGATATTACCTCTTATTTTGCTACTCCTCTTGGGGAGAACCACCCCTCAAACAGAAATTGAGTTTAAACTCCTCTGAGCAAATATTATTTCCCTGGTTACTCAGAAAGGTCTATTTTCTTCCAATACTTTATGATTACTTGTCCAGCCAGAATGCCAAACCACCATTCCTTCTAAAATATCTCCTCTCTCCTCTTTTCATTCTGCCAGTTTCACCAGCTTCCTTTCATTACCATTTCCCACGATTTTCACTGCCACTCTAACATGTATGTCTCACTTAGAACCCTCAGCCATCTCGAAACCTTTCAGAGGATGCCCATGATGGAAACATTATAGGATTAGGAATTAGGGCTCAGAATATCTTGGCTCTAATCAGAGAAGCAATAGAGCATATGTGTTTAAGAGTGAGGGCTCAAAGAGATTAAATAAATAGATCCTATTCCCAGCTTTACCACTTATTAATTATGTGATGGTGGTGAGTTTATTTAACCTCGCTGGGCCACTTTTTTCATCTGTAAAATGAAGATAAAAACAATATATATCTCAAAAGAAAGTTACCAAGATTAACAAGATAAAGCATTTAGAATTCTACCAATTAGCCGAAATATTGAATACACATCGGCTCTTCTTATTAGTGTTTGTGTGTATGTGCACGCATGTGTATACAGCACATACTACCATAGCTGCAACAATCTCTGGTGTTTCAGTCTCGTTGTCTGAAAAATGAGAAGATTAGATTGGACCATCACTAAAATTCCTTCTTGCCCTGAAATATCAGGAACATGAGTCTAACACAAATCTTCTATCTTTTGAACTCTAAGACTTTAATAGCAATCTGTTATTTAATGTGTATAGCAGGAGATGAAATGGAAGATCATAAAATAAATAGCAAAGCCTCTGCTCTTAAGAGTCTTAAAATCTTGTTTTAAAAAGTAAAGAAAATTTTCCATTTTTTCCCTCAGATGTATATCATTTTCTTCCTGTATTACTTGATAAGGTTTTCAGAAAAATATAAAACACTAAGAAAATTTATTTACAGGATAAATGTTATAATAAATTATGAAATAATATGAAGTCACATGATATGTTAAGTTTACCAACTAGATAAATTTAAAAATTGAATAAATAATATTTATGGTGAAAATACAATAAATTACACTTTTATTCACATTCAATTAATATTTACTGAGCTGCTTCTATTTGCTGAGCATTCCAGTAAGTTAGAAAAGGATTTAGTGTAAACATTTATAGAGGAAACGAGACAGGGAATGGCTTGCTACCTCAGGACAAAACTGGCCTGAGGGAAACAGAAGTGCTACCTCAGAGGGAGATTAATCAATCTGAAATTAAGAGAAACAGATCCTTAATTGTGGTAAAGAAGTGAGCAAAGCTTTGTTTTAAAAATCAAGATGTCATTTTTATTACTATTATTATTAAAATCAAAGGCCTAAACCTCAAAATATAAAATGCTTAAAGACACCTGGTTCCCTAAACCCACAAATTGTCTCATAGAACATGGGATAATTTAGCTATTAAAAAGTTCTCATTATTTGAAACAAGATAAAACCGAGATGTGCTCTAGCCAGGATTTAGAAAATATGTTAAGGAAAATCCAAATGGGGGCAAAAATGAAACCCTGGAATCAAAGAGTTGCCGAAACATTTAGAGAATTAGATTTCCCCTTCTTTTTAATGAAATAAGAAAATATAAATTATTCTTTATTTAAAGACTTTTTATAATTTTTTAAATTTCAACTACATTTAAAAATATGTTATATAAATGCAAGTTAATTATGTTACTTTAAAATATAAATTTTAAGTGAGAGTATTGAACTAGATGATCTCTAAGAAATTTTGTGTTAGTCCATTTTCATACTGCTATGAAGAGTTACCTAAGACTGGGTAATTTATAAGAAAAAGAGGTTTAATTGCTTCAGAGTTCATACGGCTGGAGAGGCCTCAGGAAATTTACAATCATGGCAGAAGGCGAAGGGGAAGCAAGGTACATCTTACATGGCAGGAGAGACAAAGAGAGAGCGAGGTGGAAAGTGCCAGACTTTAAAACCATCAGATCTCATGAGAACTCACTGACTATCATGAGAACATCAAGAGAGAAATCCACCCCCATGATCCAATTAGCTCTTACCAGGTGCCTCCTCCAACATGTGGGGATTACAATTCAAGATGAGATTTGGAGTGGGGACACAAAGCCAAACCATATCATACTATCCCTGGTCCCCCCATCATCTCATGTCTTTTTCACATTTCAAAACCAATCATGCCTTCCCAATAGCACCCCAAAGTTTTAACTCATTCCAGCATTAACTCAAAAGTCCAAGTTCAAAGTCTCATCTGAGACAAGGCAAGGCCCTTCCACCTACGAGCTTGTAAAATCAAAACAAGTTAGTTATGTCCAAGACACAGTGAAAGTACAGGCATTGGATAAATGCTCTTATTCCAAATGGGAGAAAATGTCCAAAACAAAGAGGCCACAGGCCCCATGCAAGTCTGAAGTCCAGTGGGGCAGTCATTAAATGGTAAAGCTCCAAATTGATCATCTTTGGCTCCATGTATCACATTCAGGATATACTGATGCAAGTGGTGGGCTCCTACAGCCTCAGACAGCTCCACTTCTGTGACTCTGCAGAGTGCATCCCCTGCAGCTGCTTTCACTACCTGGCATTGAGTGCCTGTGGCTTTTCCAGGTGCACGGTGCAAGCTGTTGGTGAATCTACCATTCTGGGATCTGGAGGATGGTGGCCTTCTTCTCACAGCTCACCTATGCAGCATTGCTTTCTGCATTGCCCTCCCCTCTGCATTGCCCTAGTAGAAGTTCTCCACAAGGGTTCCACCCCTGCAGCTTGGAAATCTAGGTGTTTCCATACATCCTTTGAAATATAAGCAGAGGCTCCTAAAGCTCAACTCTTGCCTCCTGCACAACTGCAAGCCCAACACCATACGGAAACTGCCGAGGCTTGTGGTTTGCACCTTCTGAAGCAAAGGCCCAAGCTGTACCTTGGCCCCTTTTGGCCACAGCTGGAACTGGAGCAGCCAGGACGCAGGGTACATGCCCTGAGGTTGCACAGAGCAGCAGTGCCCTGGGCCTGGCCCACAGAACCATTTTTTTGTCCTCTGCTCCAGTCCTGTGACAGGAGGGTATGCCATGTAGATCTCTGAAATGTCCTGGAGACATTTTCCCCATTGTCTTGGCTATTCACATTAGGCTTCTCTTTACTTATGCAAATTCCTAGAGCAAGCAGCTTAAATTTCTCCCCAGAATATGCGTTTTTCTTTTTTATCAGAGTCAGGCTGTATGTTTTCCAAACTTTTATGCTCTACTTCCCTTTTTAAAATAAGTTCTAATTTCTTTGTGAACCCACATGACTGTATGCAATTCTTTGTGAACCCACATGACTGCATGCTTTCAGAAAAAGCCAGGTCACTTCTTGAAGGCTTTGCTGCTTAGAAATTTCTTATGCCAGATACCCTAAATCATCTCTTTCAATTCAAATTTCCATCTCTAGGATCTCTAGGGCAGGGGCAAAATGCTGCTCATCTTTTTGCTGAAGCATAGCAAGAGTAACCTTTGCTCCAGTTCCCAGTAAGTTCTTCCTCTTCTTCTGAGACCATCTCAGCCTTGGCTTCATTGTTCATATCACTATCAACATTTTGGTCGCAATCATTCAACAAGTCTCTAGGAAGTTCCAAACTTTCCTACATCTTCCTGTCTTCTTCTGAGCCCTCCAAACTGTTTCATATACGTCCTTTGCCTGCTTCCCATTTCTGAAGCTGCTTCCCAGTTCTGAAGTTGCTTCCACAGTTTCAGATATCTTTACCTCTGTCTGCTTCCCAGTTCGAAAGTTGCTTCCACAATTTCAGGTATCTTTATAGCAGTGCCCCAAACTCCCAGTATCAATTTTTCTGTATTTGTCCTTTTTCACACTGCTATAAAGAACTACCTGAGAGTGGGTAATTTATAAAGAAAATAACTTTAATTGTCTCACAGTTCCACATGGCTGGGGAGGCCTCAGGAAACTTAAAATCATGGTGGAAGATGAAGGGGAAGCAAGACACATCTTACTTAGTTGCAGGAGAGAGTGAGGGAGAAATACTACACTTTAAAACCATAAGTTCTCATGAGAACTCACTTACTATAATGAGAACAGCAAGGGAGAAATCCATCCCCATGATCCAATCATCTCCCACCAGGCCTCTCCTCTGACATGTGGGGATTACAATTCAAGATGAGATTTGGGTGGGAACACAGAACCAAACCATATCACTTTCTATTTCTAAAATTATATACATTTATTTATTTAGTAATAAAATAATAATACAAAAATACTAAAACAGTAATATGACAACATTTTCAAATATGGTATTCCTCCTACAGAGGAAACTTTAAAAGGCTGTATTTAAGACAGCAAATCAAATGCCTGTTGCTAAGAAAATCTGAGAATACTTGTCATTCTGTCCTTGACATAGACAAGAAAATTATTTCACATCTAAGTTAATCAAGTAAGTCTCCAAGATAATTTGTGCTTGAAAATAAATGCAGGATGGGTATGTGAGTGTGTGTAGAGGAAGCAATATTGAAAAATTAATTTTTTTTTGTTTTTAAAATGGAAATAAATAGATCTGAATTAAGCTGAATTCAATAAGAATCAAATGTAGTTTTATTCTTTTTTTTAATGAATTTTCCAAAATTTAGGGAAGAGGTGTACAAATAGAAGTTATTTATCTTCAAAGAAGGTAACTATGATTTGAAGTCAAAAGTTTTGATGTTTTGATTGGTTTAGAGTTGAACAGTCTTTTTGAAAAGCAGAAGCTTTTTAGCTGCTGAAAAAAACTGTCACTTTCTGTTTTGAATCCGACTTGGTATTGTATTACTCTTGATATTGTATTACTTCAATAACATTCCTAGAGAGGCCTTAATTACTTAATTCTGTTATGCTTCCCAAATATATCATGAAAATTAGACAATGATTGAATTTGTGTCATGTGAACACTGATTTTCTACATGGGTAGAAGAGAGGAAACAATTGAATTGATATTTTATTATAAGTGTGCAGTGGGTAACGTACAATAATACGGATTCTGGAGACTTAGGATTAGGTTCTGGCCTCGATACCAGGATCATTCACTCAATCGTCAAGTATTTAATAACCATCTATTAATATTATCTATTACGTGTCCTTGCTCCTATGGAGTTTTCAATCTCTGAGAGACAGGAATGAAGGGACAACAAATAATAAATAAATACATAATACAAAACTGCAACAAGTAGAGTGAAGGAAATAGTATGCATAATAAGAGAGAGTAACAGGAAGAGGAGCTCTTACAGAGTAGTGAAAAAGTGGTACCGCAGAAGTGATGATACTTGGCTGAAATCTAACATATAAAATGGAGCTAGCCTTCCAAATAGTGCAAAAATAGCTCCAGGCAGAGGAAACCACATCTATAGTAGCTCTGAGACAAGACAGAGTTTGGCACTTTCAAACAATTAGAGAAAAGTATGCATCATACACACTGCATAGAAAATATCTTGTCTAAGACTAATGAATTGTTCAGAGTCTAAAGAAATAATCTACACGAGCTACTACAGAGTTGATTCAGAGCTCAGTGGACTGTGATTGTTTCTATGAACACTCTGAGGGCAAGGTACTCTATGTTGTAATGATTTTTGGCCAAGTCTAAAATACAGTCATCTGTCACTTAACATCATGAATTACTTCTGAGAAATGTGTCATTGGGGGATTCCATCATTGTGTGAATGACATAGGGTATATTTACAAAAACCTAGATGAGACAGCCTTCTACCCACCTGGGCTACATGGTATAGCCCGGGGATCCCCAACCCCCAGGTCACAGATGGTACCAGTCTGTGGCCTGTTAGAAACTGAGCTGCACAGCAGGAGGTGAGCAGCAGGTGAGCTGGTAAAGCTTTATCTGTGTTTATACCTGTTCCCCATTTCTCACATTACCACCTGAGCTCTGCCTCCTGTCAGATTGGCAGTGGCATTAGATTATCATAGGAGTGCAAATCCTATTGTGAACTGCACATGCAGGGGATCTAGGTTGTGTGCTTATGAGAATCTAACGCCTGATGATCTGTCACTGTCTCCCATCACCCCCAGATGGGACCCTCTGCTTGCAAGAAAATAAGCTCAAGGTTCCCACTGATTCTACTTGATTATGAGTTGTATAATTATTTCATTATATATTACAATGTAATAATAGAAATGAAATGCAATATGAATGTAATGTACTTAAATCATCCTAAAACCATTCCCCTCCCCCAGTCCATGGAAAAAGTTTCTCCCACAAAACCAAAAAGGTTGGGGACCACTGGTATACTCCAATGATCCTAGGCAAACCTGTTCAGCATGTTGCTGTACTGAACACTGTAGGTAACTGGAACACAGTGGTAAGTATTTGTGTATCTAAACATAGAAAAGGTAAAGTAAAAGCAAAGTAGTATGATATTATGGGACCACCATTGTATACCTGGTCCACGTTTGACCAAAATGTTATCATGCAGTGCATGATGCTAAAATTAACAAAGTGCTGAGTTAATTTGTATCTGAATTTTAAAATGATTGTTCAAGTAATCCGGATTTTTAAAAAATCAACTGTCATTATTCATATTTAGTCTTCTAGAGGCATTCAATTATTCATTAATGTGTTGATAGTACCTAGAAATACTTGAAATTTAATTATATTTAAATAAAACTGTTTATTTCTCTGAAATGAAATCTATCATGTGATGAGATGTATGTGACATTTTTGGGTAGTTATATCATTAATTAATATGATCTGTGGTGAAATAACCTGATGACATATATACAACTTGCTAAAAATGTGTACAAGTCAAATGTCTATGATAGCTGACTGAAGTCAATTTTGGGGTGTGTGTGTGTGTGTGTGTGTGTGTCTGTGGTTTGTTGCTTTTTTTTTTTTTTTTTTTTAGACAGGGTTTCGCTCTTGTTGTCCAGGCTGGAGTGCAATGGCGTGATTTCAGCTCACTTCAACCTCCACCTCCCGATTCAAGCGATTCTCCAGCCTCAGCCTCCCTAGCAGCTGGAATTACAGGCATGCACCACCACACCAGGCTAATTTTTATTTAGTAGAGACTGGGTTTCTCCATGTTGGTCAGGCTGGTTTCAAACTCCTGACCTCAGGTGATCTGCCTACCTTGCCTCCCAAAGTGCTGGGATTACAGGCATCAGCCACTGCACCCAGCCTGAAGTCAGTTTTAATAATATGATAGCTGTTCTCCACTCCAAAATAAAAGTACCCTTTACTTACTACAAATAAGCCCAGATTTATACATTAGAGAGTAATGATTTTTAAAAAAACATAAATTCATGTGTGTGAGGAGAAGGGTAGTCAGAAAGCTAACCCTGGCAAATGAGATATGAGGGGAAGTCTCCTAGAGTTTCTGGGTACAGTTTCTCTACTCTGGAAAGGACATACATGGAAAAGACAGATCCTTTTCAGCAGAAAATTGTTGTGACTGGTTGTGATACCATCTTGCCACATTCAGATAATCATAGCTTGAGGTCAAAGTCGATATGCTAAGGATCAAATAATTTTGAGACAGCAAGAATCTGTGATCTCAGTGATGTCACTGAGATGTGAATTAACCAATCCAGGAAACTCTAGGTTTCGTAATACCTTTCCTTATTGTTTATGTGAATTGAAGGTTTCCTGCTACAACTGCAGGATGAAAATGAATTGAACACATGGAAGAGGGGAGCAGTATAGGTATAAGAGACAAGATGTATAAAATCAAAATGGTGAGATAAAATATTGGGTAAAAATAAATGAATGAGTGCACTTTTGATTTCCTAAGGCACCTCCTGGCTCATGATGCTTTATTTTTCCTGAAACCATACACAGCTGTCTTGGGAAAATGTGTAGGTAAGTCTCACAGAGTTTAACAAACTCATACACCTGTGCATACATACACACACGCACACACACACAGTATTATGCACGTTTTTGGTAACATCACAGGATCTGCAGAAAAATATCAAGCTGTGTGGGAACATCAGTTGCTTATTTCTAAAGATAGGTTATTTTTGTCTTAGAAAGAGAGACTTGATTCTAATACATTTTTTATGATTACAACAAGTGGAGAGAATATGGGGTTTTCATTTCATCCATTTTTTATTCTACCTTTTGTTCTATTTGGTGATACCCTGAGAAGCAGCGGAATTTATTTTAGTGACTTCAAGGTGTTAAAAGGTGTTCTGAAATAGCCTGTGGCTGACTGAACACAATGGGTATGTTACTTGTTTTAATGAAAACAGGGATGTTCCAGGCCCTGCAGTTCATCTCTCTGTGGAGAGGATTTTGGCCTGCTTTGCTCTTTTGCCTTATCCCTGAAGTACCACATTTCAAAACATGATGAGGAGGTGGGTATGCCAATCCAAATTTTTTCTCTCAAAATGCACATCATGTGTAACATTCCAAAGGTCATTCTCTAGACTTTATGCTTTTAAATTACAATAACAGGAAATGAAATGAAAGAGCATCTAGCCTGTTAAAACCTTAGTGGCATAACAGAAATGTTTTCTGAGAACATCCAGAAAGTTTTATTCAAGAAGACATTTATTTATTGAATGTCCACTATTTGCCCAGTGGCTATCACAGTATCTGGCACAAAGGAGGCACTCAATAAATATTGGTAGAATGAACACATGATTGAATTAGTGAATAAATGAAGATTAAAAAATGAAAAGGACACAGTCCCTTACCACAGAGATTATAGTCTAATAAGGAAGATATACACTGCTATAACTATGAGGCAAGGTAATAAATTCTATAAAGGAAATACAACATGCTAAGAAAGTACATAAAATGTTATTAAATACACATAGATAAGACTAAGGACACTCCATAAAGGCAAAGATAAAGATATATTGCTAGAACAAGCTTAGAATTAAGGAAGGGTCATGTTCTTAATCTTTGGGAAAGTAGGAAAAAGGTATTACGATCATTGCTTTTATCTATTCAGCATCTTTTATCCTTTCCTTTGGTAACAAATTCTACCCTCTAGGCTTCCTGACCACAGTGTTACCATATTAAACAAACCAGATCAATCATGGTAATCCATCTATTTAGGAATAGGGATAGGCAAATGTCCAAAGTTAGGAGGAACAGAAACTTTTCCTTGGAATTTTCTAACTGAAGGTGGTAAGGTAGTACCCTTTCTTTATTTGGTTACAAAGCCCTTCATATAAAACCTCAGAAGTGACAAAAACTATGACCTTGTCATGTGAAGAGTCCTGCATGCATTAGACAAAAAGGCAAAAAACAGAGAAATTAAAGAAGTATTATGGAATCATTTAGTTCCCTGGTTCCGGACACATTCAGTGTCATTTCTCTGCCCTTTACAATTAGTTAATAAAGACCCTTATTTGTTTAAGCTACTTTGCAGAATTCTGGCCTCTGAAACTAAAAGAACAATGATATACATAAAGAATGCCAGAGGATTTCGAGCATTTGGCTGTGTCTGATGATTTTTCTCCACAATTAAAAGTAGATGGTGTTCAACTTTTACATGTCCAAGCCAGATATCAAACAATAAAAATGTACAATTATATACCAGTGAATAAATATGTATCATCGATATATGTGTAATCTAACAATATAGCCTGAAAATATAATATACCAGAACCAACAGTATTGCAAGAAATAGATATATCAGCAACAAACAGAAAATCTATCAGAGAAGAAATAGAGATTAGCCATGGGAAAAGACTAATTAAATTTTACAATGGACTTATCAGCCACAGTAGAGACTGAAAAAACAGTATAATATCTTCAAAATCCTGAGAAAAAAAAGATAGCATTTAATCAAAAAATCTATACCTAGCTAAACTGTCATCCATGAATAAATATATATTTTCAGATATGTAATGACTTACAGAATATAAAACAAACCATCTCAATAAGGATGTCAGCAAGATGACACAATAGGAGGCACAGGATTCTCCCTCCACCTACAGACACACTAAATAAACAGCTACACATGGATCAATTTCCTCTGAGAAAAATCCAGAAGCTAGTTTATAGACTCCTGTACATAAAGTGACTGAGATAATTCTCACTTCAAAGCAGCATCTGCCTGAGTGTCTGGCATTTAATTAGCTTGTACCGGAAGCTGATGAGGTATGCAATCTGTAGTCCTCTGGGAGCTTAAAGGGGAATGTGGGCAATTCCTATGGCTTCTCTCCCTGCTATGGTTTGAATGTTTGTCCTCTCCAAAATTCACATTGAAATTAACAAGTGAAACTTTTGAGAGATGATTAGGTCACCAGGGCAATGCTATTATCAAAGGGTGAGTGTGGCTGCATTTTCTCTTTGCCCATCTGTTTTCTGCCATGTGATGACATAACAGGAAGGGCTTTTTGTGCTACAAACAATCCAATTACACTCGTTTAGCTATTTTAAAATGTACACTTATATATTATTAACTACAGTCACCCTATTGTGTGATCAAATACTAGATCATATTCATTTCTTCTATATTTTGGTAATCCCTATCAAATTTTTTTTTTTTTTTGAGACGGAGTTTTGCTCTTGTTGCCCAGGCTGGAGTGCAATGGCGCGATCTTGGCTCACCGCAACCTCCACCTCCTGGGTTCAGGCAATTCTCCTGCCTCAGCCTCCTGAGTAGCTGGGATTACAGGCACGCGCCACCATGCCCAGCTGAATTTTTGTATTTTTAGTAGAGACGGGGTTTCACCTTGTTGACCAGGATGGTCTCGATCTCTTGACCTCGTGATCCACCCGTCTCGGCCTCCCAAAGTGCTGGGATTACAGGCGTGAGCCACCGCGCCCGGCTCAAATTTTTAAAAGCAACTTTCACAGAAATGGAATCCTAAAATTTGTACAGGACCACAAACTACCCCAAATAGCCCAATCTTGAGAAAGAAGACAGCATCACACATTCTGATTTCAAATTCTGATTTCAAATTTCTGACACAATGTGTCAACACACATTGTGTTGACAGCATCACACATTCTGATTTCAAATTATACTACAAAGCTACCATAATCAAAACAAGATGATACTAGCATAAACTCAGATACACAGACCAGTGGAATAGAATAGAAAGCCCAGAAAGAAACCCAAAAATAAATTGTCAAATAATAATTGCCAAGGGTACCAAGAACAGACAATGGGTAAAGGACAGTCTCTTCAAATAAATGTTATTGGGAAAACTGGATATCCACATGCAAAAAAATAATAATAATAAAAAATGGAATTGGACACTTATCTTACAATATACACAAAAATCAACTCAAAATGGATTAAAGAGTTTAACATGAGACTTGAAACTGTAAAACTCCTAAGAGGAAATGTAGGGAACAAGCTCTATGATGTTGGTCTTGATAAAGATTTTTTTTGGATATGACACCAAAAGCATACAGGCAATAAAAAAAATAAAA